AATCCTTCCTGGCCACGACAACAGAGTGAGCTGCCTGGGGGTGACGGCAGATGGTATGGCAGTTGCCACCGGCTCCTGGGACAGCTTCCTCAAGATTTGGAACTGAGGACAGCAGCAGAAAGACCAGCGGAAGCACGGCCCACAGCCCGAGCCCACACAAACAGCATCGTCAGCTGAGCACAAACAGAAACGCCTACCTGCCACTCCCGCTTGTCTCTAGACACCGGTCATTTGTAGGGGTCTCCTAGAGTGAAAGGGAAGGTCAGGGAAGGGGAGCTGGGCAGCAGGAGCACACACACTGGCCCTTCTCTCCGCCTCTAAACAGGCCCAGCAGTTTCTAGCCTCACGCAGGCTTGAAGACCTGCAAAACACTGCTCATTACGTCTCAGGACTGTACAGCACAGTTCAGACACCCGGCATAGTCTTTCAAACACCTCTACCCATGTTGACACTCATCCTTCGGAGGACCCCTCATCCAACCCCTCTATCCCAGACTAAGCTCTCCCTGATTTAACTCTACCTTCTCTGTACAGCTGTCCTAAGCCCCTGCAGACAGCCCCAGAGACACACTGGGCTTGAGATTTCCATCATGCAACCTCAACCAAAAAGCTAGTATAAATTGGGCTCATTTTCCATTGGGGAAAGCTTAGCTCAAGTCTTATCTATGCATAAACGAGGAAAACATAGCCCTCAGACCTGCCAGAATACCAGGGAATATTATATTTATTCTTATTTATTGTTTGCTTCTTGCTGTTCCTTCCTTTTGCCTCACTCCTGCATCGCGCGGTGACCTTGTTTAACCAGTAGCCATCAGCCCGTTTCCAAGTCTGTTCTAGATCTTCATAGCCCAGGTAAATAAAGCAAGCTCACACAAGCACTGCCGGCTGTGTTCTTTCCAGCATTGCAACGAGCTGCTGCAAGCATAACTCTTCCGTCAACACCACCTGCTGACCCCAACCAGAGAACCCCTCGTCCACCAGCCTTACTCAACCTCAAGGTCCTCAAGGGAGAGTGTTCCTCATCTATGTTGTAGCTCAGAAGAGCCTCTTAATCCCAAGGCTCGCTGCCCTAAAGTTGGGATAGAGAGCCAAAAATGCATCCTTGGATATTTGAGCTCAATTACAGGACACAAACATTACATTCAGCCCCAATTCCACTAGTTGGCTCCTGGGGTCCCAAAGCTCTTCTAGGGACTGAAGGTCAACAGGGTATAGTGACTGATCAACAGAAGGTCAACACATTAATGCACAATACTATCTTTGGATCTCACCCTCATAGAAACCCTTGCAATGGACTACAGTCCTTTAAATACACATTAGTTTCAGGCCAGTGTGGGTGCCAAACTCCAAAAGTGACACCAGGTACATGAGTGTCCTGCAGAGCTGCAGCTTTCCAGCCCGCTCCACAGTACGTGGGTTCAAGGTCACACCCTTCTCAGCAGAGCTCCATGATGGCACGTTACAGGCCTAACGGAAGGCTGAAGTATTTGTTCCTGAACAGCTGTCCCCGGAGACACTGCACTGGGTGAGCACGAGACTCCTACTACCCTATCAGGACATAGTTACAGTCAGCAAAGGTTTAACACACATTTATTTGCTACAGATAAGAACTGCACAGTAGGTTAATACAGCTGATATACAGCAGAAGAGCCAAGGTCTGTACTGTACATAGGCCACACAAAGCTAGGAGACAGAGTGCATGCTCTTTCCCCAACAGGAATAGGTGGGAAGAGTGACCACGAGTCTGGAGTTTCAGTCTATCGCAGAATTTCTCACCCCTCGAAGGCTCTCGAAACACAGAAGCAAGTTACAGCAGAATCCTGGAAAAGGAAGTCTCTAGTTCTCCACAAAAGGACACTGTTGGTTCTCTTTGTTCAAGTCACGCCAAGCACAGCTCCCAGGTTTGAGGCTCCTGCTCAGATCCACTGTCATTTCCTGGTTCTCATTCAACACATGCCTCTTACCCTGGAGAAATAAAGACACCCCACCAAACACACAGCGTAAAACACAAGTCAGTTGAGGGTTGATTAATTCTCAGTGGAACTTGTAGCCCATTTTCAGGCCAGTCAGCTTTGTCTCTCTTGTGACAATGTCCTAAGAGTGAGGGACTTCTTCCTACAGCCTAAAGAATGCACTGAAATGGGCAATATCATGGTAATACCAAAAGATGCAGACATTGGACAAGACCTGGAGGTATCTAGGGACAAGACTGACCCACAAAAAAATACTTACGAAGCCACCAAGCTCTACAGGCCTAGGAGGCCACAGTTCCAAACTGAGACCCTCCAAAATACAGAAATTGAAGGACTTGGGTGTTTTTTTTTTTTTCCCCAGCCCATTCTCCCTCCTACAGTATGAGCCATTAAGCTTTACCTGGCGAGGGACAGGAGCACTGGGGGAATTATCATCTTGTAGGATGCTGAGGGGAGAGCGGCCAGGTCCACCAGTGGCCATGATTTTGTTGTTGTTGGTCTTGCGTCTTACAGGCTTGCTCCCTGCTGACAGAAAACACATCAGTGCATCAGGGCAAGACTAGAGGGTCCCGGGTTTTAAATGCCTCCTGGCCTTTATGATCTAGCTTGCAGCAGAGAACGGTACCCAAGGGTTTCCAGGTGAAGGGCTCACGGAGCAGCTGAGGTTGGAAGGGACCTCTGGAGGTCATCTGCTCCAGCATGTTGCCAAGGGCCATATCCAGTGGCTTTTAAATATCTCCAAGAATGGAGACTCTGTAACCTCTGGGCAACCTGCTCCAGTGCTTGGTTACCCACACAGTGGAAAAAGTGTTTCCTGATATTCAGGTGGAGCCCCCTGCTTATGCCCATGGCCTGTGGTCCCATCACGGCACCACCGAGAAGAGCCTGGCCTTCCCTTCCTTATACCCTCCCTTCAAGTATTTATACACAGCGATAAGATCCCCCTGAGCCTTCTCTTCTCGAGGCTGAGCAGTCCCAGCTCTCAGCCTCTCCGAGATGCTCGGCACAGAGTTTTCTGAAGCAGCGTCACTATTAAAGACTCTCAGCATCACTCAGTCATAGCGCTCAGATGTGCTTCCCACCCTCACTCCCCAGCTCTTCCCAAGGAGAAACTCCAAGGTCCTACTGAAGAGGCCTCCGCGATTACAAGCCTACCTCAGAGAGGGGAAGGGCTGGCATTTACCTCTTGTTTTTAACTGCCGATCAAACC